TGTAGGTAACTACGAAAGTGTGCTGAAGGAATTTGAAACTCTCCCTGTAATCAGTCACATAGCTAACATTCCCCTTCTATCTGCTGATCAGGGCTATCTACACTGAGGGATTCTTTACTGTACTCCAGCCACTGCAACAACAGAGCCTGAGTAAGTGCTATACATCATGTGGATAATCTATAATCTCCACGTCAACACTCAACCACTGACTCTTCTTACACTCTGGGGTCATGCCACTGCATTGGTTTAAACTTCAGGAGTGTATGGAAATGTTGACATACTCACGCTAAAGCAGCCAAAAGGGTAACAGCCTTTGCACCGGCAGGAAGTTTTTTGTATGAGTGGAAATGTTGCTGCAGTTCATAGTTGGCACAAAGAGTTGTAGCATACAGACAGAAGGAAGCCTGCAGCTCTTGATAAATCACAGATTAAAGTTGAATTCTCCTAATTTTTTGCGTGAGGAAATATAAACTATAAGTATACTGCAGATAGCATATGCATTTTTCAATTTCCAAAACAGTTTTGGACACATTTGTTGAAACAGTGTCTAAGAGAGGTGTAAGTTATGAATTTCCAGTTTCAAGTTTGAATTGTTTTGTTCAGTTCAAAGATTCAATCACTTTGTAATTCCAGGACTTTTTTTCTAACCTTAGCAATCGCATCCAGTCCTGACAACTTGACGACTGTCGCTTGAGTCAGCCACTTTTCCGAACCCTTAGCAACTTAGCAACATATTCAGAGTCACCTTCTGCACATCTTTTTACCTCTGTTATAAGAAGCCTGCATCATGTTAGCTATTAAGCACAATTTAAGCCTTCTTCCCCTGTGCCCCTAGCTAGCTAAATGCCTAACTAGCTAGTGTGTATAGCTTGCTAATGTTATCACTGATTCTAGAGCTTCAACAATTTCATTTGATTGATTTAATCTTGATTATCAATTTAGTAATTTTCCAAGCAAAAATTCTAAATATGTGTCAGTTCACTTCTCAAACATTTCAAGCTTTTAATGTGTGCTTTCAGGGGCTATTTGTAAGTTTTCTCTGCATCTGCCATGGTTTCTGACAGGTGGTGGTGATTGTTGCTTGACAAGAGCTTCAGCCATCATTGCATTTACAAGATAAGAGGTTATGATACGCCCTCTGAGCAGCACTACATCTTCAGCAGCAGATTAATTGATAATGATAATTGTTTCTTACAGCCCAAACTGATCCCCAGTAGATGCTACTTTTTTCATGTTATTTCAACACCTGCTATGTCCAATCGTCAAGCTCCTTTACACTCAGTGTTGTTCATTCATTTTCTACCGCTTATCCTCTAGTAGGGTCGTGGGGGGGCTGGAGCCTATCCCAGCATCCTTTCGGGCGAGAGGCGGGGTACACCCTGGACAGGTCGCCAGTCCATCGCAGGGCACACAGAGACAAACAACCATTCACTCTCACATTCATACCTATGGTCAATTTGGAGTAACCAATCAGCCTAGTCCCCATTTGCATGTCTTTGGACTGTGGGAGGAAGCCGGAGTACCCGGAGAGAACCCACACAAGCACGGGGAGAACATGCAAACTCCACACAGAAAGACCCCGCGTCCGAGCCGGGACTCGAACCCGGAACCTTCTTGCTGTGAGGCGGCAGTGCTAACCTCTGCCCCACCGTTGCGCCCACTCAGTGTTGTCTTTGCCCCAAAGTATACAAAGGGGTGTGATATGGTGATAGCCAATGATCATACCGTTTAAACTCACAGCAAAGGGCAGTCCTGTGATCTCAGCAGTCACAGTAACACAGTAACATACGGAGTAACCAACGGGGTAACGTCCAAAGCACTTAAATAATAGATAGGACTAACAATGGCGGCCCAACAGCTGCTTCTCTGCTGTGTGGCAGTTGGAATTTAAGTGACATTACAAACTGAAAAAGCCTTTGTACACAGAGTTTGTTCGACCGCTGCAGTAACCTGAGACAGTTTCACATTGCAAGAAACAGATTCCTTCTAAACGATTACGTCTGGAATTTAATTAGGCTATCCATAAGCAATTTGAGTATCCCCCACCACCCACCCACTGAAATGCTTTCCTACAACAAAGGGTTTACAGTGGAGGACAGATTTCAGGTATGTACAGAGAGGCCAGAGTATTACCACTCACCAGTGTCTTGCCAGTTTTCATGTGTGCTGGGTGTGGGCAGCAGGGTGGGGTGGGGGTTGGCAGCCGTCTGTGTGGGCACTTTCCCGCTGTTTTATGCAACCATACAAAAAACAAAGGCTTTCCTGGAAACGATCATTGGCTCTCAGTGCCTCTGGGATTTTCACGCTCGGTGGCACGCACGCCCACAAAATCCCGGTCAAGCTCCTCATATCCTGTTCCACTGCATTGTAATGGTGGGCTGTGGTGATGAGTACTGACTTAGGATGAGATCACTCAGCTCCTTAAGGATGTCAGAGAGCTTGAGGTCAGGTCTTGGAGGGGGCTGAAGTTTTCTGAGTTATATCCGCCAACCTTTTAATAGCATGACTAAGGAATTGTACCTCTCTTACACTGCTGAGGACTTCCATTTGACTTAATAGCTGTCTCATAAAAGCAGGAGGAATAGAATACATTTAATTCCAACATGCATTGTAATGATTCATTCATTTATGCTCCTTCTGGCAACATGTGCAGACACGCTGGAGACACTCTCCTGCTCACTGTTTGCTTTGGATGCTCCAATCTGTCAACTTCATCCAGAAAATTTATTCATGTTTCACTACCAGTGGGTTGCTGGGTGTGTTTGTGCATGCATGCATTTCCAGGACCTTGAAACTTGTGAGGGTCTTTGACGGCCACACTGTACAGGCCCCTGAGACACCTCCTGCCCAATTCAGTGGCTCACAGCAGGCCTCTTCATACAGCAGCCTGGAATCATGCTAATATGGCGGTTATAGAGCAACACCAGGCTGCTGCTGCATCATCTGTGAGTCAACAAACACCCTGAATGCCTCTTGTCAATGTGTTTGTGAGAGAGAGAGAGAGAGAGAGAGAGAGCGAGAGAGAGCGAGAGAGGCTGAGTGAATCAATGCTCACAGCTCTACAACAAAGCAACAGTGCAAAACATTACATTTTAGATCTTTTTTAAACATTGTATTCATTCTGTTTTGAATCTTTGTAAAACATAAAAATACATGATCAAAAAGTAAAGAAAGAAAACCATAACATGTATGGAATGGACTGCATATATACACCACTCAAAGTGCTTTACAATACGCTCCACATTCACCCATGCACTGATGGAACAGCCATCAGGGGTAATTTGGGGTTCAGGATATTGCCCAACATGTGGAAAAAAAGAAAGGCAGCAAAATATACTAATTAGATAAATACACAGAAGAAATGGTAAACAAAAACTACTTGTTTGTACAATATGTCCAACTTACCGAAGTCACAACTTTATACTTTAAAATAAACAAAATTCTTGTATCAAAAAATCTTCCGTTTTTTCAGGTCCCCAGACCTTTTCAGAGTCTTTGGATTTTCCCTTTAATGCACATGTTTATTCTTCCTGAGATTGAAGTCTAGTCTTCAAAGTTTTGCCACTGGCTAAGAGATGGCTTTAGTGGATTTATTCCAGCACACAGAGACTGTATACTTTGTGAGCATATGATTAAGAAAATTAACGAAAAAGGGAAAATTGCAATTCACACTATTATTATTTGATGCCTCCTTGTGCTTCTTTGTTCACTACAACTTTTATATGAACAACTGTCTCTTGCTGAATGGTTGTCCATGCAACCAGCTTCATGTGTATTCATCCCCTACTGTATGTCCTTATATTTCAACAAGGAGGATGTGAAATATAATTCTCCAGCTCTGTTTTTGTAATTTATGTGCCTTTACTCCAGGGCCAACACATAAATCAAATGCCCGGCTTCAGGAGTGTAAATCCAGAAAAGAAAAACAAATTATATGACTTGCCAAGGAACCACAATGAAAACAGATCAATTCTGTGGAAGACAGCAGCCATGAGGATCAGTCAGTCTAATCAGTGCGGACACATCCAGTGTGTTTGAGGAGGATGACCACTGAAACAGATGATTATTGATTATTGAAATTAGCAGGTTAGTGATCTGGTCCTGTATACCAGATCGTATGCCTGTTGATTGCACATGAATAATCTGAGATAATAAATGTAATATTGTAATATTGGTTTTGAAAGTTTTTTTCATCACTTACAAACGTTTTATTATTTGGGGCAGATATCTGGAGACCAGACATCTGCCAGAACATGTTAAAGGTCCATACAGTCTAAAGGTCTCTGTCCATGTGTTGTTTGATCATAAAGCAGGTCTAGGTTCTATATTAATACTGTGAAAGTATCAAAGCCTCAGTCCACAGAGAAATGCACACAGCCTGTATTTAGAAACGGAGCCTCAAAACCAGCCGTCAGGACTTCTGGAACTTTGTGATGTCACAACAAAGCAGTCTGAGCCGTGCGCCAAGCCCCGCTCACCTAGACCCACAATCGAATCTTACAGGATTTGGTTTCTCTTTCTATCAGAAGAGAGGCTCAGAGCCTCCTCTCTTCTGATTGGCTTACTGACCTGTTGTTACTAGAGCTCCACATAGAAGCCCTATGGAGGAGATGTAAAACTAAATTGAGATGGTTTTTGCTTCTTAAAACCACAAATATATTTTCTTCTTATGGATCAACACTTCAAATAAAACACAGGAGAAGAAGAAAATATGGAGCTTTAAAAGTTCTAAATAAGGTTTAGATTTTTTCCAGGTCCAGAAGGACCACATCATGGAGTAACACCCTTGGGAGAAAAAAATATGCCAAAATAAAACAAATGTTACATCTTATATGATTGACTTTTAATGTGAATTACATAGAAAGAAAGAAGTGCTGATAAACAGCAACACAACATTATCATTATCACACTGTCACCAGATGACAGCTGTGTGCTGCGTTTCTTCCCAGTAAATCTCCAAAGTCTAATTTTTTACAATTGATCGCGAACGCATCGTTGATACGGTGTAGTGTTGGGAGCTGCAGAGGACGAACACATGGACCTGCCTCCTCAAGAAGACATCAAGTGTTCGCTGTGTGTCCTCAGTGTCTGTGAGCTGTGAAGGACCGCTGTCTGACAGGATGGAGGAGCTCTTCCGTCAACACTCTGCACCAGCTGCTCGACGGTTTGTTTGGACTCTGGAAGTTCTGCGCGTCTTTTGACAACAGCCACAACCACACAGTCGGAGGAATGATAGACTGGTTGAACGCAGTGACAAACCTCCGTGTGGTTTTATGAACTAGTTTTGAAACAGCGGCTGCTCAGGAGATGTGTTCGGTTTCCACGTGGATTCACCGTCAGCATCGACGCCTCTGATTTTTCTGCACAAACCGCGAAGCTGTCAGTGGACTGTGGTAGGAGAAAAGACTGTACACTATGCGAACCCGATTTCCAAGTGTTGCTGTTCCCCCCAAACATGTGCAAAACGCTTCCGCGCGCACACACCGTCCCGCCGACCAACACTAACCGCTGCTGTGGCTCTGAATCCGGCTGAAACATGTTTATCTTGTGGATCCCGGTGAGTTTATTCCTCAGCTTCATCGTTTCTCAGACGTGGAGCATTCAGATGTCATGGGAAAACTGGAACGCCGAGCTGCGCAACCGAGGAAATGAATTTGATAAGCCCAGCTCTCAACCGCACATCATTTTTATCCTGGTGGATGATCAAGGCTTCCGGGACGTTGGGTACCACGGCTCAGAGATCAAAACCCCGACACTGGACCGGCTGGCGGCGCAGGGAGTCAAGCTGGAGAATTATTACGTGCAGCCGCTCTGCAGCCCCTCCAGGAGCCAGCTCATGACCGGCAGGTACAGTGCATTTTAGAACAGTATCTTAGAAAGAGCTCCAAGCAATCTAACAAACATCAGCTTGGACCCAGTTACCAGCTGAAAGAACACAGCTGATCATCATAATCAGGACTGATCCAACCCTTTTCTAAGAGAGGGAGAAAGAGAAGTGATACATATCGTACTTTCCCACTCCAGTCCGCTGTGAAGTGTAGTAAAGAGTAAAGTTTGTCAAGCTTTTATTTTGATAACATTTTACAACATAAGATACAAGTCAGTGTCAGGAGGATGAGGTCATCAATTTGACAAGATATAAAGGTGCATTCAATTACACACAAGGTCAGACGCATTCCCCCTTGGGTAATGGACATTATAACTAATTGGAAATCAGATATGTGACAATTAAGTAATCTCTCACCTAATGTGATCTGGGATCAGCTCCAGCCCCATAAGCAGGTTTAGATAATGAATGGATAGATTATTTTGTGTATATTGTTTCCAATGACTATGGTGAACACAATGCTCTCATAACTGTTAGAAGCAACTGCCATGACAAAGAAAATTGAACCCAGCTCTTCATTGCTCAGTATAACTGCACTCCCTCCGGAAGATGATGGATTACAGCCTGGAACAAAAAACAATTTTGGTCTCTATGGCTAATTTCCTCCTTCATGACAACTGTACGCAGGGTGAATTTAACACTTGTTTAAATTTTATTGAGGGTTAGGGTTATAGTTCTGCATATTGAAGGCTGCTTTGAGTGACAGGTGAGTGAGCGTATGTTTGCCACAAGCTGGCATGCACCGAAATCTCTGCTCGACATGCGCCCCTCCTCTTTGCCTGTTTTTGGATTAGCTGGAAGTTAGAGGCGGAGGCAGACACTGCCAAGATGGCAACGGTGGGGCAGCTCACTCTGAGCTTCAAAACCACGCTTCAGAAACCTGTGGGTGACGTCACAGAGGCATGAGCGCCGAAATGAAAACCAAGAAGTTTTGCAGCCGTCATGTGCACACAGCACATCCAGTGTGCTCCTGGCCTCCATTGCATCATGCATAACAGCACCACCACCACAAGGCCCCATATGCACCTGAATGTTGCAGCATAGAAGGAAGAGAAACATTCCAAACAAACATCCACCAACAGCTGGAGGAAAGAGAGAGCACGTGAGGCAAGGATACACAGTGGGGTCCAAAACCTTTTTCCACAGCCCAGCGCTGACAAGCTGCCATTTTAGCAGTGTAAGATGTTCTAATAGACACAGCTCTCACACCCTGGATGGTGCACACAACATCCTGAGAGAAGCTTGGCCTCTGTAGGCCATGGTCAGGGCACAAATGCATCTATCCACGCCCAGAGGACTGCTGATTGGCCTGTTCACCAGCAGCAGCAGAGACATTTACACTAGTTCTGCTCAAGCACTCATAGCTCTCTCATTCTTTTAGAATCTTTCTCACTAATCCCTCTGTTGCTAGCTTGGCAGTTAGCGATGGCTTCTCTCTCTCCTTCATCTTCAGTGTGTCTTGGATGAACTTGTTCATAAGATTGTGCTGTTTTTGCATCTTCAGTGATGTCTGCTGTCTTACCTTCGACACTCCAGTCTGTGCCACCAGGATGCCAGATGTAAAAATGGTGCCTGTTCAATCTTATGAGAATACCTCACCTGACGCATACGCCAAAAATTTTCTGGCTTCCTGGTTACTTCCAAGTTTATGCAGCCTACTGAATATGCACAGTAGTGTTACTCCCATCATACCTCTGGGCTATGAAAACAAGCAAACTGCATTTTGGATCTGGCGCTGCGTGTTCATTCATCATCATGCAGCGCCAGATCTGTGCTAGAGGACTTAATGGATGTATGATAAGACTTGTACGGGACTTGCTTGGGGCTTGAAACCATAGATTTATACAAATATCTTATAGGTTATGGGGAAAAGGATTCAGCTTTAGGGCCTAAAATCACACTGGATTGTTCACAATAAATCATAACTGGGCAGGAATATTTAATTTGTCTTTTGGGATTTTTAAAAAAATGAGAAATGATGCTGTACGTAACACATTTTTACAATATTTCCACCAAACTGCAGAATTTCATAGTCCATAAATGTAGCTGTCACAGGTATTTTTATGAAATTTAGTTGAATGTAATTTATGTCAATGTCCTAGATGTTTGATTTGAAAAATTAAAAAAAAAATTCTAAGTAACTCTAGAAAGATTTAATTTAAATGCTAATGAAAGCCACTAAACATTTAGCATACTGTGTATTGTACACACAATTGCTGTTAGGGGACAATTATGACAATGTGGGAAATAAGAGAGATGATGATTGGGACGTCCCCGTCACGGACTGGTGGGAGAAGGGGTGCAGCCCCCCCCCCCCCCCCTCCCCAGCTGAACCAGTCAACACTGGCATCCAGGCCAAAGTCAGAGGTATAATTTTGTCACATTAAGGCAGTTTATGCCATAAAATAACTTAGTGTGGTTGTTGGGCCGCATCTAACTAACTGGCTCCAAAATGAAGGGAAGTGTAGTTCCAAAACCTAGAGCATGATTATGGAAGGATTCTGTGAGAACGGGGGCCACAGTGTCGCTCCAGAAAAAGCTTGTAAGTGAGGCTTGAGTTAAGATTTGTGTCTAACTAATTTTTAAGTTTTTCCAATTTGGGGAGCAGCAGTGTTACCTCAGCAACCACTTAGTATGTTAGAGGGCAGAAGGAGGCTGTAAAGAGATATTAGAGGGCGAGGCTGGTTAATGTGTACTGTATCATGGGGGGTCAGTTGCGGTCTGGCTTTGTAGTTTGCTTATAGAATGTTTCACATCAGCAGTTTCCTTCTTTGTACATGCAGCTCTGCAGGGCTTCTCCTCCTCTGGCTCCACCATCTGTTCTGCTCCTTAGCTAAAAGGAGGAGGCTTGCTGGGCACCAATGTTTTCTGGCAAGGATCTGAGAAAATAATGAGAAAAGTGCAGCAAAAACTCAGCTAACATCCACGTGGAAATGTAGGTGTAGATTCAATTATGTTTCCAGGCTTGTATTCCTGAGTGGAAGGTTGCAGAAGAGTGTGTGTGTGGTTGAATTTGAGTGAAAGAACACCATCCATCCGTGTATACATTCAAACATCAGTGGTCTGTGTCAGCTGGAGACCTGTCATGTCAAATATCAGACTCAGTAAAGGATTGAGCCCAAAACAACATTGTTTCATAGAGCCCAATTAAATTTACAAAAGCTGTTTAGACTGGTTACCATGGCAACCACACGCAATCAGATTTTATTATGACTTAATTTCTTTTTTTTTTTATGCTGATGGTCCACTCTGTCTGTGTTTTTCTCAGCTGTCACCCAGATGGACAGGTTGTCCTGCCTCATAAATGACTAAATATACCCAAAGGACTGCAGGGTCAACATAAACATCCTGAGACCAACGATATGACCCTCACATGACCAGTCCACTCACCGATTGTGAATTATGCCATCACTATTTTTAACAGGAATACTTTTAGGGACCAGTCTGGTTTTGAAGAAAACCTGGATTCGTGTCTTGGATGGGTTGTCTGACCCGTTACATCCTGTTTGACACAGTCCTGGTTTGACAGAGTGAACGCAGGGGAAAACGCAGAGGTAGAAATCGCAGTCTTCTGAATCTCTTCTACAAGGAGACCAAATAAAAGAAACAAAAATCATTAGGGCCCATATTCACAAAGCATCTTAAGGCTAAAAGTAGCCCTGAACTTGCGGATTTAGGAGAAAACCACAAATAATGGGCGTGTCAGTCCTAACTTTAGGACTCCTAACTTTTCTAACAGAGTAATTCACAAAGTCACTTAGTGCTAAAAGTTGCACCTAAGTCTGGGAGAAGTTAGAAGTAGGGGAGAGAACTCCTAACTCACTTAGACCAAATCACAAAGAATCATAAAGGGCTGCTGTCGTTCTACGCTGCAGTGTTTTTGAAACCTTGCGCAATGCTGAATTACTTAAAAGATACGACTCAATCACGAGGGAATGATTATCGTTGTGGAGTTTGTGAAAGGGATCTCCCAGCCGCCTGTAAGCCGATCTATCCACCAACCAATAAATGTCTCTGTTCACACCATTTCCTTTAGATGTTCAACAGCTACAGAGAAATAAAGCAGCTTCATGGTCGGTGTACCCGGTGTGATCGGAGCCATGTAAAAATGATTGCACCACCAGACGACGAAAAAAAGAAAATCACCCTAGCCACACACAGGTTGTATTGATACTGCCCGTACAGTTCTACGCAATGTTACACAGTGTTCAGGAGCTACACACAATTCATGGATCTGAATGGAGAGTGACCTGAGGCAGCTGTTTTAAAGGATCATATTCCAGCTGGATGTCACCTGGAGGGGGACACAAGCTTTTCATCAGTAGGACATATTGTTACAGAATGTCGTCTTCAGTGTGTTGACAAGATTTTGGTCAGAAGTGAAGCATATGAAGAAAAAGGCTCCATGTTAAAACAGAGAAGATAAAAAGGAGCTGGCAGTAGTTGTGTACAGCTGCTGTTGGAACCGTAACAAAGTTATCTAACCTTCCAGCAACAGGAGCTAGAGAAAAGATTTCCACACTGTTCGCCCCCTGGGAAACTCATGGCATCAGAAAAATTTCAACCTGTCTGGTTTTCTTTAAGCTGCGCTGATGAGATTAGAGGCTTAAAGTCAGAGCTTTCCTTCAAGTTTCGAGTTGTTCACCACAACCAACTTCAACCACACAACCCTCCCACTGATCTGTCCTCATCAACAGAGCTGGATTGCCAAAGGTGGGGGCAGAGATTGTTCCTCTGGCAGCCCCCTAACAGAGAAATATGTTCGACTTGTTTGAGGAATGCACACATGACATTGCAGATAAATGTTTCTGAAAGCCTTTCACCTGTTTTGGATCTTTGTAATTAAGTAAATATGCTTCTGGAGTCCAAAGCCCTGTCAGCTTACCTGTCCAGACTGGAAAGTTCAGTGTGTTATAACCATGCCTCTCAGCTCTAGTAACAGCAGCTGACTCTCTAACCC